GGCATGTTTCTATGGTTATTGGTGTAGGCATGTTTCTATGGTTATTGATATACGCACGTTTGTATTTTTACTCGTATTTGCACGTTTTCATATGTCTGGATTGATTTGAGCAGTTTCTGAATTGAAACGTACGCCATGTTTCAGTACATGAGGCTCCGGATGTCACCGGGTGTTTGTGATTCATCTCTGAGCAACAGTGATGATGAGGATGATGAAGGTGGTTACCATGCCGACCTCTCTGCTGACTCCTGCTCCGTAACGAATGTTAGAGCTCGCCATCTGTAACAGAAGCCCAGCTGAATGTCCAACTGTCTGTCAGAACTCCTCAGAGTCATGTCAGGTGTGTTTTACCTCAAAGGCGTAGTCCGTCTTCCTGGCAGTCCAGCCTCTGGCTTCACCACCTGTCAATCAAATCAATGAAATTCAGGTTAGTATCTGAATATCACAAGATGAAGTTCTGTTTGTTCAGAAACTAAATGGGTCAAGTAACTCCACTAATCCACTGTTCAGAACCAGGTGTTCCTGCAGACAGGTCGTACCTTCATGGAAGTTGTTGGAGTGGGCTGGACATCTGCACCTGTACACACACATAGACAGAACATAAGGTTAAAACGAAGTAAAAACAACTCATGGTGACTTTTCTTCTGTTGGATTGAGACAGTCGTCATCCAGACCCCAATCAGATCCGATTCTGGTCCACATACATAGTTCAAGTTGTGTTTACTTGTCATATGCAGGTTAACAGAACAATGAAATGCTCAAGATGAGAAGAACCAATTTGACTCGCTAAAAAAATAATAATCAAAGAACAAACAAACAAGAAATACTAAAGCAGTGTTTCCCCTACTATTATACAAGCGGGGTGCCCCACCCCGTCAACAGAACTGAGCACCCCGCCTACCAAACCAAACTTGCCCCCCCACCTGCCCACCCGGCACTGACATAGTACTAAGCTAGCAGCGAGAAATACAGTTTCTCTAGCTAAAAAGCTAAAGGCAGCACTCATGTTGCCTCTTCCCTCATGCTAAACGCCCCCTGCCCCCTCAAAAACTGTTTGTACAAGCTGCGCTCAGACAAGTGTCTGTCCCCCCCCATCAACAAAAATCATGGATAAGATGAGCACCCCACCATGGCAAGTTAACTAGGGGAAACACTGCTAAAGCATGCAATAAGGGTACAAAAATAAAGTACCACAAAGTGAAAAAGTAAATATAATATTTACAACATCCTAAAGTGAGATAGTAAACAACAACATGGTAGAATATAACGGTGCAGCAGGATGAATTTGAATGAATAAGTATTTCAAGGTAGTAATATAAGATATATCTATTGCACAGAAGTAACAAAATACACGGGTAGTGTGCCATGTTTATTAAAAATAGCACCTAGTGGTAGCAGGGATAAACAGAAGAGGAACGAGGATGGACCCCTGCCGTACCCCCATTTAAGTGCTGCTGATGCTGAACTAAAACCCTTAATGTTGACACGAAAGGTTCTATCGGAGATGTAGGATCCAAACCATTTGAGGGCTGACCCTGTAATGCCCACCCACTGCTCCAGCCTAGAGATGAGGATATCATGGTTGATGGTGTCAAAAGCAGATGTGAGGTCCAATAGGACAAACAGCACAGAATCACCTGCATCAGTGGCTATGAAAATGTCATTAAAGACCTTCAGTCTCAGTGCTGTGGAGAGATTTGAATCCAGATTGGAATAACTCTAAAACAGAATAATCCTCCAGTAGATTTGAGACAAATGGAAGTCTGGAGACAGGTTGGAAGTTGGACACCACTGAGGGGTCAAGGTTGGGGTTTTTTTCAGCAGAGGTTGAACAGCAGCATGTTTAAAACATTTGGCACCACACCTGACGATAAACTGCTTTTCACAATAGCGAGAATAGATCATCAACCTTTATTTAGACAGGTAAGTCCCATTGAGCCTCGAGGACTCATTTACAAGAGAGACCTGATTTCAACAAAGAAGGATGACAACAATGGACAACAAGACAACAATAAACAATTATAAAAAGTCATACTGCAGGTTTTTTTTTGTTTTGTTTTTTTTACAAATAGGATGGCTAAAAGGAAAAAGGTAACAAAACAAAAAACAGCTAGATTCCAAGACAAATGTAGAAAACTAAAAACAGGAACATGTCAGCATTGGTCCCTGCCAGGAGTCCAACAGATTCTTAAAGACACTTAGAGAGGTCAAAGGTCGAGAGCTTCAAATCTTTTTGTAAGATATTCCAGGAAACAGGAGCGGAGTAGGAGAAGGTCCTTTTGTCTAGTTCAGTCCTCATTGAGGGAACACTGCAGGTAATGATGTCCTGAGATGGACCCACAGTAGGAAAAACGTCCTTTAGTAGTCGAGGGGGGACCACATCAAAGGAGGAACCAGATGGTTTCATGTTGTACATGACCTGCTCCAGAGAAGACACATGTCTCAAAGTGGTCAAACACAGCTACACACTGAGATGAGATGGACGGAGCATGAGCTGGTGCAGAAATGAGTGCCCAGGTGTTCACAACTTTTTCTAAAATTAAATGAAGAAAGTTCATGCACAGCTTAGTTGAGGCTTCCAGAGGTGAAGGTTCACTGAGGTAAAGAACCTCATGGAGTTCAGGGTGGAAAAAAGAACTTGGGGGTTGTGAGAGTTGGAGACAATTAAATCAGAAAAGTATTTAGATTTAGCAGCTTTAACTGCTTTCTGATAACGACGCTAACTCTCTCTTAGCATTTGAAAAGAGAACTGCAGACGGTCTTTCCTCCACCTGCGCTCTGCTCTCCTGCACTGCAGTCTAACAGCTCGAGTGATGTCATTCAACCACAGTTCTGATCGGAGTTTCTTTTTTCTGGTTTTAACGGAAGCAACACGGTCCAGAACATTTAAAACAGACAAAGTCAAGGTGAAGAGTTATCTCCTCAGTGTTAAGAAACACTGAGGGCTGTTTGATCCTCTCACAGTTAAAAACATCAGAGAAACGAGCAGCAGAGAAACGGTTAATGGCCCAGCTGTGACGTACAGGAGTGCACGGTTTAACGGTGAGACAGGGAGGAGTGAAATAAAACAGCACGGGCATGTGATCTGAAAACACATTGTCACCGATTTTAAGATTAGACATCACGTGGTAACACCAGGTCCAGTGTGTGTCCGTGGTCCTGGGTGGGACCATTTACAGTTGAGTTCAATTAAGAGTTCACTAAATCTAAAAAGTCCTTCACTAAGGGCTTCTCCTGACAACACACATGAATATTAAGTCTCCAATGATTAGAACGTGATCATATCTCTGTGTGATTTCAGCCAAGAAATCAGAAAAGTCACTTAAGAAATCCTTGGATCGAGGGGGCGGTAGACGAGTGCGCACAGCAGCGTGGAGGAATGTCCCAGTTCAGAAATGCTCAGCTCACAGCTGCAGCAGGAAACTGGGATGGACAGCTTTTTACAGTCAAAGTCTGGTTTGAGTATTAATAATCCACCACCGCGGCTCGATGAGCGCGGGGCATTAAAGCACAGACAGTCCGGAGGAAATAATTCCACTAAGGCGCTGGACTCACCGACAGACGTCCAAGTTTCTGCGATGCAATGAAAATCCAACTACTGTTCTTTAAAGAAGTCCTTGAGGACAAAAGTCTTGTTGGATACCAAACAATTCACCAAACATCCTGAAGAGGATCCAAAACAGACACAGCAGAGGTGAGGGGAGCGCGTGCCAGCAGCCACAGATTTTGAAGATCAGCACCTTCTGGTCGGCTTGTGTGACGCGCAGGTAAACAACTGCGGCTGTTAGCATGGTCTGAGTGCACGGGTAGCTGGCCAGCAGCAGGGCCCCTGAAACACCACGGGTCAGAGAGTCGATGATCAAATCCAGAACGAGCACTGTAATCCTTGGCAGAATAATCCACGCGGTGTCTCAGCTTCACAAACATCCCAGCGCGCTTTCCTCGATGTCTGCGACGCTTCCTCTGGGGAGGGCCAGGATCACAAAGGAGGAAAACAGGAATCTTGGATAGAACTGGTGGAAGAGAATCCTGACCACTGTAGAAAAACTCCGCAGGCAAGTCAGCAAAGCTACAGAGCTTCAAAAGTGACCGACGATCATACAGCAGATATGAGTTGACAGTCTGAACAAAACTTTGTAAAAGTAGCAGAAACAAAAACAAAATAGAGAGCGATGAACGGCAAGCCCTACACACTGGTGCCATCTTGCATCTCACTTGCATGACAACAGTAGACAATCATAAAGGATGCATACAAACTGAGAAGAACAAATCAAAGAAAACTGTGTTAAAAAAACTGAACAAAAACAGTTAGATTATAAGGCGGTGTAGAAAACTAAAAACAGGAACATCTGCATTGTTTTTTTTCCAGGAACTTAACAGATGTTTGAAGCCACTTATAGAGGTCGAGGTCAAGGGCTTCAGATCTTTTTGCAAGATATTCCAGGAAACAGGAGTGGAGTAAACTGGTCCAGATGACAACATTGAACCTTTTTTGTTCTAAATAAAATAGTTGCAGGTCAGTTGTGTGAACATCTACAAAGAAATAATCTGTTTGAAGAGTTTCAGTCAGGGTTTAGAGCTCATCATAGCACAGAAACAGCACTAGTAAAAGTCACTAATGATATTCTCATGGCCTCAGACAATGGACTTGTGTCTCTACTGGTCCTGTTAGACCTCAGTGCTGCATTTGATACAGTTGATCTCAATATTTTACTACAGAGGCTTGAATACGATGTTGGGATTAAAGGAACAGCTCTAAAATGGTTTAAATCATATCTATCTGATAGAGTCCAGTTTGTAAATGTAAATAATAAATCTTCTTCATACACCAAAGTTAGTCATGGAGTTCCTCAGGGCTCAGTGCTTGGACCAATACTCTTTACTTTATATATACTTCCATTAGGTAAAATTATTAAACAGCATGGGATAAATGTTCATTGTTATGCTGATGACACACAATTATATTTGTCTATTAAACCCAATGAATCCAATCAGCTACTTAGACTACAAGCATGTCTTAAAGACATAAAAACCTGGATGACCCTTAATTTTCTCCTGCTGAACAGACAAGACTGAGGTTTTGGTTTTTGGACCTGAGCACCTTAGGAATGAATGTTTCAGTCTTTCTCCCTCCTTAGATGCATTAATCTGTCCTCCAGCTCTAATGTTAAAAATCTTGGTGTTATTTTTGATCAGGACATGTCTTTTATCCCCCACATTAAAAACCTTACTAGAACCTCCTTCTTCCACCTGCGTAATATCACTAACATTAGAAACATCTGATCTAAAGATGATGCAGAAAAACTGGTCCATGCATTTGTCACGTCTAGACTGGACTATTGCAATGGTTTATTATCTGGGTGTCCAAATACTTCTTTAAAACGTCTTCAGTTGATCCAAAATGCTGCTGCCAGAGTCTTAACTGGAGTTACTGGGAGAGATCATCTCTCTCCAGTTTTAGCTTCTCTCCATTGGCTCCCTGTCAAATCCAGAATAGAATTCAAAATCTTACTTCTAACCTACAAAGCCCTCAACAACCTATTGTTGCCAACCTGTACATGGAGGAGGTAGAAAAGA